GGGTCTCAGGGCTAGTGTGGGGAGAGCTGCAGGGGCCTCAGGGCCGGCGGGGGAGCTGCGGGGGCCTCAGGGCCGGCGGGGGGATCTGCAGGGTCTCAGGGCTAGTGTGGGGAGAGCTGCAGGGGCCTCAGGGCCGGCGGGGGAGCTGCGGGCTCTCAGAGCCAGTGTGGGGAGAGCTGCAGGGGCCTCAGGGCCGGCGTGGGGAGCTGTAGGGTCTCAGGGTCAGGTCTGCACGGGGTCTCCATGAGGTTTTGTACTTCGGTGTGTATGGGTTTATCCTAACACTGTGGCCATGCTCCAACTGTGGGGGCAGCTGGCCTCCGAGGTGCTGGTGCCCCACAGTGTGAGAGGCCTGTGTGTCCTGTCTGCACCAGCAGTGCCCGTCCTGGACCAGCGCCCCATCCTGCCACTGCAATGCCCACAACAAGAGCAAGTACTGGAAGGATGAGCGGAGCCGCACCCTGGCAGGCATCCTCGTCACCTTCAACCTGGAGCTCATGGAGATCGACGCAGACCTGCGACGTGGAGGTGAGTTCCTCAGGAGCCCGGGTCTCGGGAGCCCAGCTTAGAAGGTGCCACAGCTTCCCCATCTCGCCCCCTTGCAGGAGAGCATCTGCTGCTGTTTACACAGGAGCTCGCCGCGGCCTACACCCGCTACCTCAAGGGAGAGACCCCACCAAGCTCGCAGGCCTGCTGCGCGTGCCGGTTGAGGCCCAACGTGGGACGGTGCTACATCTGCCGGCGCCGGCGTCGGAACAAGGAACCTGTGTACCGGTGAGTGCCAGGGCATGGGGGCTGGGCAACACGAGGCGCCGTTCATGGTTAGCTCCTAAAAGGGCTCCCACTGCGGCTTCCTAGGGCCGCCCCCCACCCCCCACCCCCTACATGCCCCTCAAGGTCATGGAGGGCGTGAGGTCTGTGCCCTGGTGAGAGACCGGCCGGGCTTGAGATAGTCTAAGCTACAGAAGAGGCTTTGCAGGGCTTTGTCAGACTTTGTTGTTAAATGTTTTCTTTTTTTTTGTTTTTTTAGCGTTTCATTAAAAATTAGTTAAACGTGCAGAGAAGGTTGTATGTGAGCGCCATGTGTCCACTCAGACGCCCTGTTGGCGTCCCGCTTTGGGCCCCCAGGCTGGCTTCATGCTGTGGTGGGGTCGGGATCCTTTGGGTGGATGTGACAGAAGGTGGTTCTGATGGACTGGCCTTGGACGGGCTCCATGAGCAAGAGTCTGCTTTCCTGGGGCTTGGTGGTTTCTAGAACCTTCCTGGTGGACTCCTCTGACCGCCCAACCGCCCACAAGTGTTGGGGAGACTGAGAGTCCTTGGCCCTGAGGCAGCGTCAAGGCCTGTGTGGTCTGTCCCACGTGCCCATTCTTCGGGTCGCTCTTCTGGAGGCGGGTGCAGCGAGGACCACCGAGGTGGGCTCTGAGCTCCTCACCACCGGCCGCGGCACGCAGCCCCCTCCAGCCTCTGTGGAATCTGCGGCTGCGTTCCCGTTGGAAAGAGCTCTGACCTTTTGCCCTCGGTGTCCCTTGGCGAACCTAGTGATGCAGACGGGTGTGGTGTCCAATTTTTTTGTTGTTGTTGTTTTGTTTTGTAGGTATTCGGAGATTTTCAATTTGGTGTCCTCGTTTATAAGTCAGGCCGAGAAAGAGACTCCAAAGACGTCGGCCATCATGTTGCTGGGAGCCGTGAGGGAGATCGCGCTGCACAAGGATCCCGCATTGCAAGTCTGGGGCTCTCGTCGGGTCTGGGGGCCCCGAGGCCTGATCTCCGGGTCTGTGGGCTAAGATCGTTCTGAGCTACCTGTAAGGGTGACCTGAGCGTGTCCTCTTACAGGCGTTGGGAGAACATGGGGACCACCGAGTCTCTGAAGCTGGCAGTGCCCCTGCTCATGGCCAGGTGCGCGGGGCTCTCCCAGATGGTGCTGGGAGCCACGGGGCAAGGGGCATTGTTCAGAGAGGAGCAGCAGTCCCGAGCCTGTGAGGACCAAGGGGGGTTGTGTGGGAGTTGGGGGGGTGCACAGCAGGGGGCTCGGAGGCCGTGCCTAGGATGCAGGTGGTCGAGCGCTCAGTTCCTGACGAGCGGACCTCATCCAGGGCGCGTGTCTGTCCTTGAGGGCTCCTGGAGGCTGTGTCACCGCCTGCCGTGTGCACCCGCACTGCAGGAAGCGCACGTGTGTGCGTTTATAGAATGCGTATGCACACGTGTGCCGTGTGCAGAGCTGCGTTCGCGGGACCCCTAGCCTCTCCCTGCTGGGTGCCAGGGTCGGTCACTGAGGGCCTCCCGCTGGCGTCCTGTCCTCTCCCACTCTGGTAAAGGCCCCGTTGTCGTGACCTCCACGCCCTGGGCCCCCCGTGCACGCAGGGGCAGAGCATGACCAGGGGGTGTCCTGGCGTCTTTTAGTGGAGGTCCTCCCGTGCTCTGATCCCGCCCTCGTGGTCTCGGGTGAGCCAGGTGACCCCGTGGGATGGAAGTCCCGCCGACACCGCCCCTCGCCCCTCGGACTCCTGTGATGGCCACTGTTCCCCCAGGATGACGCAGCTGCTGCAGAGGACGCTGGTGCTCGGTGACCTGCCCCAGCCACTGTGCCAGAAGTTCACCCGCTTCTTCCAGGCCGTGCCGCTGCCCCCGTACTGCTTCGGCTTCACGAACTGGTGAGCACCGCCACGCGCACCTGCACACCACGTCGTTCAGAGAGACGGGGTGGCCCTGCCCCAAGCTGGGCACCAGGGCCTGAGCTGGTCAGATCCTGAAGGAGGGGCCGCAGTTCTACCCCCCTCGACCAGGGAAACAGCTTCATGGTGTCCACTCACCCACGTCGTTCTCTGGAGACGCTGGGAGCCCAGTGACAGAAAGGCCAAGCCACGGGCCTACCCTTTGGGTCGCGGGGGGGCAGGAAGTGCAGGTGGGCAGGGGGTGCAGGTGGGCAGGGGGTGGTGGTGCAGACGGCTGGTTGGCGAAGGACGTCCGGTCACCAGCCTGTGCCTAGCCCTCCTGGACCAGTGAGGGCGCCGATGACCCCAGCGAGGTGGGGGACGGCCCTGTGACCGCGGCCTGTGCGCCCTCAGTCTGAACGTGGCACCTTGGGACCACCGGCTGCTGACCACCGTGCTGAGAGGCCAGAACATCACCGGGCCCCGGAGGAGGAGCGGGAAGAAGGAGTTTCTCTGGGAAGTGTTCGCTGTTGTCAGAGCCAGAGTCGAGCGGCTGGAGGGCCTGGGCCAGTGAGTGACCCCCAGGCGAGCTGTCAGGTGGTCTGTGTCCGTCCCTCCTGCCAACCGCCTGCCACAGGGCCCTAGCCTCCCGGCCCAAACCTGGGCGCAGGCTCCTCTGTGGTCAGTGCCCGCGGTCGGGGACGGTGCATGTAGAATGTGGCCCGGCCGGTGTGCCATCCCGGTCCCTGTTGCCAAGGGACCTTCTTCCCGGGGTCTGAACCTGCCCTGGGCGTGGCTGTTCGGGCCTCTGCTGACCAGATGGCAAGGTCTCCAGGGTGCTTTGCGCTGGCTTTGGGGCTGTCCCAGACTCCGGGCTTCTGCTGAGCGGGCAAGGGGCGGGGCGGGGGAAGCGGTTAGGGCAGGGTTGAGGTTGGGTGGGTGCTGAGGGGCCAGGGCCAGGGGCGGTCCTGGTTGCCACGGTGACGAGTTTCTTTCCTCTGCTTCATGCTTAGATACAGAGAGCTTGTGCGCTACTTGAAGGCAGTGAAGTGTGAAGACAGTGTCGGGTGAGAACGCTTTTCTTACACGTGTGGTGGGTGGCGGCACGCCGTGCGTCTGCTCCATCTTAGCGGGCGGCAGCCTCTCAGTGCGGATGCTCGTGGTGGAGTGTGCGGTCCTCCGCACACCCTCAGCAAGAGCCGCCCTGCAGGCTGCGCGATCTCCGGGACAAGGTCCCCTTCTACCTGTGCAAGTGCGGGGACTTCACGGGTGCGGCCTACGCTCTGCTGTCTCCTGTCAACACGCTGGCCTGCTGCACTGCCTGCCGGCTCACGCCCGCCCACTTTGAGAGCTACCTGAAGATGCTCTGGACAGGCGGTGTTCCTGCGGGCAACGACATCCAGGACACTGGCCACTGGACGGTCAGCGTGGGTGAGGAGCCAGGGGCACTGGTCTCGCCTCGGAGGTGAGCTGTGTCTGTCTGTCATGCTGCTCCCCCCCAGCCACCTTCAGTTTCCCGCCACTACACACACAGACAGGGTGCCCGACCTGGGCTCCAGCCAGCTGGGAGGCAGATGAGGAGCCACACAGGCGCTTGGCTGGTGGTGTCGTGGCTCCGTGTCCCTGCGTCCCTGCGGGGTTTGTGGGCATGGCCCCTAGTGGGATACTGTCTCAGGTCTTGTCCGTCCCCAGGTGTGGCGGTGAAGCCCTGGATCCTCATGAAGCAGGCCCTGCGCATGCTGTTTGGGAACCAGGCCTTGTACCAGAACGTGAGTGCCGCAGGAGGGAGGGGTGCTGGCTCTGCTGAGGGACACGAGTGCGAAGGGGGTGCACGGGCTCTGCGTGACGGATGCGAGTGCGTGGCGGGTGGGCGGCCGGGGCCACATGCTGAACCGCCATGTTGCAGGCCCGCTGCTGGAGTGCCCTCCTCGCCCTGTGGGGCAGCAGCCCCGTCCTAGAGCAGAGCGGCCTGCTGACCATGCTGACGCTGCAGGCACCATCCTTCTCATTCCAGAAGGTAACCACAGTGGGCCTGTCCCAGCTGCGCTTGCACACGTGGGGTCCACCCTACTCTGCTCCTAGCCCGCCGGCTCCTCGTGACCTCCCTCCTGCCTTTGGGCTCACAGCAGCCATGGCGTCAGGGCCGCCTTCCTGACCTGCCCAGCGGCCCTACACTCGTCTCGCTCAGGGAGGGCACATTAGGGCCCAAGGACGCCTTCTACCTGCTCCCATAACCCCTCAGGCTGCCACTCGGGGCTTCCCGACACTCACTGTTGACTTTCAGCCAGATCACTGGGCAGCTCTGGGCATCACTTGGAAAATGGCCCTGTTTGCACGGTCCCCTCCCCCACACCCAGCCTGACCCACCTCCTTGGGGTCCTGGTTCCTGCAGCCCACAGCAGCTGACCCTCTGCGTGGCCGCCCACCTCAGGTGGTGTCTACGTCCATCCCACACCCAGCCCACCTCTCCCGGCCGCGCCCCCACCGGCAGGGCTGACACACGCTCCTTGCAGAAGGTGCTGCGTGCCTCCGATGCCATCCTCCAGGAGCTGAGGCTGCACGGGAATGCCACCCTGCCTGCGGACCTCTTCTTCGGCCCGGTGAGTTGGCGGAGCTGGGCAGGCTGGGCTAGCCATCCCTGTGTGGGCCGCTGGGTCACCTTCATTTCCCCAAGCAGTGCCCTGTGCTCCAGCCTCCTCCACCAGCTGTGCTGGCTTATTCTCTGTTGGCCACAGTCCCTGCTTGCTCTAACGGAGTGGGGTCAGGCCTCGCTCCCTTCTGTCCCCTCTCACGGACGCTGGTCTGGGCTTGTGCACAGGGAGGGCGGTGGGGCCCTGCAGGGTCCACCTGGCCCCGTGTCTCACTGCCTGCCCATCTGCCCCAGCTGGGCCTCGAGGCCTGCCTCCTGCTCTGCACCCAGGCTGCACGCGAGATGCTGGTCACCGAGTTCCCCTGGCTGACCTCACTGCTGGACATCGTTCTCGCCTTTGGGGTGAGACAGGCACACGCCCTGGTGCCGGCCGTGAGGGGGCGGCCAGGTGGGCAGCATACTTGGGGGCAGGCTCAGCCACATTGCCTCCTGCTGGGTCTTGTAGAAAAACCTCTGGGCGCTGAAAGTGTTTCTGGAAGGCGTGTCGAAGACCCCCGCCATCTACGAGGTCATCGGCATGATCTCGCGGGACTTGAGCTACCAGAAATACACGCTGCTACGCCTGTGAGTGAGCCCGCGGCCCACGCCGTCCGAGAGGGTGCGCGTGTATGTGTGCTAAAGTGAGCGTGTGGTTTGTGTGTGTACACGTGCGTGCTAGTGCACAGGTGTGTGTATATGTGTTGGCATGAGTGCGGGTGTATGTCTGGGGCGCTGGCGAGGACGTGGAGGCGGTCCCGGGTGCCCTCGAGCCACACTGTTCTGTTAGCGGAGGGGCCCAGGCCGACATGTGCTGAGCTGGCCATGCCCACAGGTGGCAGATCCTGGGCCCTGATTACGTGGGCGAGCTGCTGTGTCTGCTCCTGGGCTTCCGGAGCATTGACCTCCAGACTGTCGGCGTCCTCCTGACCCGCCTCATGGTGGAGAACCTCAGCCAGTGAGTGCCCACCATGCCCCAGACGGCCCAGCCACTTGTGGTCATGGTCCCGGAGCACCGCCGGCCGTTGATCATGGGGGGTGTCGGCGCTGCACGGGGCAGGGTGGGGTCGTGGCACCGAGCAGAGTCTCAAAGGCCACCCTGACCCTGCCAGGTGTCCTTGGGCAAAGTCGCTGGACCTTCACCGTCTCAAGGTGAGTGGCTGTCTGCACAGGAGGGGCCGGTTTCGGGTGTTGTGGGATGTCCCCTAGAGCTCAGCCTCCCACGTCGTCTTGGCCACCCCGGGCCATCGCCATCGCTCCTCCCGCAGGCCTTGCAGACACCGCACCTGGACCCCACCCACCTCCTGCAGTTGGGCGCCCTGGTGTCGGCTTTGGAAAACGTGTGACTCTGCTGCTGCTGGTGCCCTTGGAGGAGAGAGGGTTGGTGGCCCTGCCGTCGGGGCTCCCACCCTGTGGTTTCTGTGTGTGTTATTTTCCCTTCCTGACACTGGAAGGGCTGTGGCCTGGGTCATCCTGGCCGGGTGGCCGCCGGATTGCTCCCTGGTCTCCAGAGAGGAGAACGGCCGGCAGGGTGGGCTGAGGGGCCACGTGGGCACCAGGCCCCATCAGGCGCGCACAGGCGGGTTTTGTCTGAAGGCTCGGTGTCGGTGGGCCTGTCGTTTGGTGCAGGGACACCACCTACCCCCCATGGCGCCACGTCAGGAGGTGGGATGCAGGCTCTGCACGTTCTTGTTGGCGGGTCTCAGATGTAGGGCTCTGCTCAGCCGGGGCCCTGAGTGGGTGGAGTTTGGGCCCTGAGTGGGTGGAGTTTGGGCGGCTGGGGAGTTGGTTGGGGGCGCGTCACGGGGCCAGTTTGGACGCCCTGGGACAACCAGGGCGGGCGTGGTTCTCCCAACAAGGAAAGATGCAGCAGGAGCCCACGCTGCCCGTTCCCCTGAAGTTGTTTGTTGTGTTTTTTGCACACGTAAGTCTAAGACTTGAATTATTTTTGAAAATTATTTTCAAATTTTCAGAGATTACGCGAGAGAACTAATTTTTTATGAGCCTGTTTAACTCAGTGAAATAAAAGTTTTCTTTGGTGTTTTTCTAGTCCCCACGTTCGCCCGGCCAGCTTGTCTGCAGAGGGGGACGGTTGGTGCGTGCCCTTGGGCAGGGTCGCCAATGCTGGGCTGCAGTGGCTGCTGGGCCCCCTGTGGGGAGGGGACACCCTGAGGGCTGGCCGGGCAGGCGGCTCCCTCCCCACCAGCTGTATCCCTTTGCGGCAGTTGTGGCCTTGGGGGGTACACCCACAGAGTGCTGGGTGCCTCAGGCTTTCTGTGGGGGATGGAGGGGCAGGAGGGGGGCTGCGCCCCCACGGAGCCACCACAGAGCAAGGCCGGACCGGACCTGTACCACCTCCCAGCCCCTGCACATCCACGGACACACGGGCCCCACAATGAGCCAGGGACACAGGTGCTGGGGCCTAATCCTGTGAGGTCCCGGGGCGCCCTCTGCAGAAGGGGGTGTCACGTGACCACCTTCATCGTCCACAGTATCTGGGGGCCTGGTGTGCACATTTCTTAGGGCACCCTCCTCACAACCTCCTGAAGGGTCAGAGCACGCCCCCACCACCACCACCGCCGTTTGTAGGTACTCCTGGCTTTCCCCCCTCCCTGCCAGGGGCTCAGCCAGGCCATGGATGGGGCAGCAGCAGGCACAGGGTCTCCCTGCAGCCTGCCCGCCACCCACCATGCTGGGCCCACTGGCAATGGCCATCAAGCAAGTCAGGCACGCAGGGCCGGGCGCCAGTTTCTGGGCCACAGAAGAGACGATGTGTCCTCACCCGGCAACCCAGTTAGTGAAGCTAATTTCAGAATGGGGCCTCTGCTCTCCCGAGACCAGCTGGCGATGGCGGTTGGCGCGGTGCAGAGCCAGGTCCTCCAACAGCCTCTTCCCACGCAGGCTGCGGGGTGGGCGCACCTCCCAAGGCAGGTGCGGTCCTGGGCACCACGCACTCTGGTCACCTCGGGGCTGACCATGGAACCAGGACGGCGTGGCTCAGAGTGCGGGGTAGGACCCTGGCCTGTACTGAAGTGAAGTTCCATTGGCCCCCGCGTCTCCATCTGCAAGGCATGCGAGTGCTCAGCTCTCACACGAAGCAGAAGGGAGCAGCCTGTGACCCAGGGGTGGGGGTACCTGGGCCGCAGGCCTGCAACCAGCACAGAGGCCACACAGCCACTGTTAGGTCTTATATGCCCCCCAAGGTGGGGAGAGCAGCCCCCATGGTGCCACCAGTCCGGCATCACCACCCCAGCCAGGCTGGTGCTTCTCCCCCTGCCCCAGCACTGAGGCCAGGGGCTCAGTCCCCAGACTTGATCATGGCATGCACAGACGCAGAGAGGACTCCAGTGATCAAAGCAGCGCCGTCTCAGCCCCTCATGGAGACTGAGCAACCACCCAGCAGGGCTCCCTGCCCCGACCCGGGGGTCTTAGCTGTGCGGCCTCCCCACCCTCACTGCTTTGGAAGGAGGTTAGGAGACCATGCTCACTCCCTCCCCGGGAGATTGGCTTCCCCTGGGACCCTCAGTCCTAGAACCCTGGGGACACCGTCAGGCAGACCCTGGCCCGAGACCATGCCGTCCCACCACCCGCCCTGTCCTATCTGTGCTTCTGGACGGCCAGGTCTGTATCCACAGGGTGCCACGGTAACCATAGCGCAGTGTCCTGGGTCCTTGGCTGTCTGCTGTGTTGGGGCCATGTGGGCGGCACCACTGTCAGGGCCTCAGGGCTGTCGCCCTCCCCGTCCCCTGCTGTTCTGGGGTCCCACAGGAAGCCTGCCATGATGGGGGCGGCATCTGTGATTACGCTTGCTTGAGGCCAGGCAGGGCTGGGGGCCTTGGGATGATGGGCACCCATCCCAGAAGGGTGGGAGTCAGCACCACCATATGCCCAGCGGGAGCTGGCACCCTTGGGTTTAAGCTCCCCACCCCTGCCCCATAATCCGTAATAAAAAATAATCCCTAGTTACTGAGGTGCTCGTTCCAGGGTACCTCTGCCCTGTCACCACAAGTGGGGTGAAGAAAGGCTGGAGGTGGCATCATAGGGGCCTGGAGGCTGAGTGGGGTGGAGGGCTAGGCCCTGGGCAGGCTGGGCCATGGAGGCCCCGAGGGACTTCTTGTGATGTCACTGAGCCCACTCATCTGCCTTCTGGGTGGGGGCTGAGTGACCAGGGACAGGCCCAGGGGCCAGGTACTCAGCCCCAAAGGACCCTCTGCTGCAGCGTTGCTGCCTGGGGGCCCCCGCCCAGGATGCAGCCTGGCACGTGCGTCACGCGCGTCCCTTAGGCACAGCTCCCCTGAGAGCCAGCCGGGAGCAGGGACGGCGGGCAGCAGGGACTGTGTCTCAGGTGAGCCTGCTGGCATTGACGGGCTGCGAGGCCGGGTGGAGGGGTCATCAGAGCCCCAAGCAGAGCCCTCCTGATGCCCAAAGGCCACCAGGTGCCCCAGCACCCAGAGCAGCACGTTCTTGGGCCCCTGCTGGGAAGCCTTCTGGGCTGCCACCCGGCCCTCTGCACCTGGCTGTGCCAGCCAAGGGCGGGCTGGAGGTGTGGGCAGCCCCTCTAGACCCCAGGGCAGCCACCCAGGCTGCCTGCCCAGCCTGGAAGTGGGACCAGGTCCCCTTGAGGAAGAAGCCCACGTCCACGATAAGCTGGCTCCGGGAACAAGGGGCGCTCACTCCCAAGGGGCGAGGGGCCATCCCGGTCCCTGGGCACTGCACTAGCCTGGTGACCAGCACTGCCTCAGCCCAAAGGTGGGCAGCAGAGGGCAAGAGGCCCTGACCAGCTTTGGGTGACATGGGCTTGGAGGGAGGACTCAGCCGATGGCCCTCCACACCCAGGTGCCCCCACCCCATCAGAGGGAACCTCAGCCCCTGCTGCTCTGTGGGCTGCAGCACCCACCAGTGGGGAGATCCCTCGAAGGGGGCACACGTGCCAGGCAGGCTGAGTCCCCAGGGTCCCTGCAGGAGGGGAGAGTGGGCTGGGCGGGGCCAGGGCCCCAGGTGGCAGGGGTGGGCAGGGCGCTGCCAGGGTTCTGCCCGCCTCTGGAGCCTGGCCGCACTTCGCCATCGCTTTACTGGTACTCGGTCCTCCTGCCACCTGGCCCTCGCCCTCCCTAGCCCTCCGTCCGTGGTCACTTTCGCCCTTACGCTCGAGGCCCCCGTCCAAGGTAGGCCCCTTGTTCTGAAGTGGCCCTGGTCCTCGGACTGGCGCCAGTACCAACTCCGGAGACTGGACCCTGTCTGTCCCGGCCGCGCGCGGAGACGAGCCCGGGGACGCGCGGCGGGGGCGGTGGGCGCG